CGATGGGCAAGCTGGCTCCTGGGGCTGCGCTGGGCTTCCTGCTGCAGTGCTCACCGCGCGGCTGGCGCCAGGACCCGCTAGTGGTGGCCACGGGCTTGGCCGTCCTCGCCTACACCAACGTCCGCTGGGCAGGCCAGGCCTCCACGGCGGCGGTCCAGGCCTGCATCGCGGAGAGCGCCAGGATAGTGAGGCTCCAGCGCCCTTGGGCTGCCGTCAGGGACCCGATCTCGGCCTTGGTGCTCACGCTGCAGGTCATCGGCTGGGGACTCAGCGACGACGGCGACTTCCGGCAGGACGAGTTCGGCTGCTGCTACTCCGTCCTGCGGTACTCCCCCGCCTTCTTTGCGGAGAAGGCCAAAGAGGCGGCCAGGGAGGCGGCAGCTTTCCAGGAGTGCGACGCCAGGCCTCAGTCCCTGTGGCCGTGGCAGCTGCCGCCAAACTGGCGGGCCATCAACCAGCTCCTCGGCGCCGCGCCCACGGAGACGTGGTCCAGCCACCACTGCGGTTGCCTGCGCAGGCTGGCGACTCTGTCACTCTGGCCGCAGGCCAGGCTGGCCAAGCGCGGCAGCGACATCGACGACCGCTGCCTGCTCTGCGGCGAGGAGAGCGGGACCCTGGCCCACCGCCACCACAGGTGCCCTGCCTGGGAGGGCTGGCGCCGAGATCGCAGGCCCGCCGACTTGAAGAGAGCTGCCGAGTTGGTGAGCACGATGGGCCACCGCTACGAGGAGCTCTTCTGCCAGGGCCTCTTCGTTGACGCCCAGTACCTGGTGCAGAGGCCGCGCTGGGACCCTGGCTGGGAGCGCCGCTCGCGCGGCTGGGACGAGGGCGCGCTCGTGGTGCCCGCGGGCGCCCTCGTCTTCACGGACGGCTCCTGCGTCAACAACGACTTCCCGATGTTCAGGAGCGCGGGCTGGTCGGTGGTGGTGCTCACGCCCGACGGCGAGTGGATGGCGCAGGCGTGGGGGGCGGTGCCGCCTGCCCTTGTGCCCAGCCAGACGGCGAGGGCAGGCGAGGTCTACGCGGCGGCGGTTGCCCTCACGGACATCGTCGGCCACTACCACCTCATGATCGACTGCCTCGGCACGGTCGGGGCCTGCAAGGACGTGAAGAGGGCGGCGGGCCCGACGGCCCAGTTCGCCCACCTCTGGGCGAGGGTCGGCGACGCCGCCGAGGGGGTGCACGTGAAGCACATCCCCGCCCACCGTTCGCGGGCGGCCGTCGAGCGGGGCGAACTCACGGAGGTGGAGCTCTACGGCAACCGCCTCGCGGACCAGCTCGCGAAGGCGGGCGCGGCGCTGCGCGCCATCGCCGACGAGGAGGCCCTCCTGCTCCAGGGCTGCCTGGCCCGAGCCCGCGACGCGGCGCGCTACGCCGCCGAGTTCGAGGTCCAGGCCACGGAGCCGGGCTTGCGGGACTCCTGGCCCATCAGCTCGCTGGAGCTGGTCGACCTCGCCCCCTACATGGCGGCGGAGCTCGACGGCGAGGCCGACTATTTGTACACCGCCGTCGCGGAGCCCGCCCCTGGGACAGGTGGATTCAGCCCACCGAAGTCGCAGTCCCAGGGGCGCGGCGAGTTCGGGATGTTGCACGACGCGGAGGTGCGCGCGGCTGGCGATGGCGAGGTGCAGGCCTCGGCGGCTGTCGGCGGCCCCCGCCTCGCCACGGCGGCGGCCCTGGCAGCGGCGGCGGCAGCTGGCGCCTCCAGCTCGAGGCCTTCGCCCGCGAGGCGCCGCCCAGCCTCGGCCGAGACGCCCGCGGAGGTGCTGCGCCGAGTGGCCCAGCGCAGGGCGCAGGAGCAGCCGAGGCGCCGCGAGGCCTCGGCGCCCGCGCCCAGCCCGCGCCTGGCGGCGGCAGCGGCGGCGGGCGGCGGCCCAGCCCCTGCGGAGGCGGCAGAGGCGGCCCGTCCAGCGGGATGGAGGGTCAACGGCCACCTCCTAATGGAGTCGCGCGTCGAGGGCGACGACTCCGAGCCCTTCCTGGTCTGCGCGGCTTGCTGGATGTACTGCCGCCTCCCCAGGTACGCGCACCGCGGCCTGGGCAAGCCGTGCGGGGCCAGCGCGGCGGCTGGGCAGCCCAAGAGCAAGAAGGGCTCCAGGGCACAGGCGCGCTCGGACTTCGCACGTGGCATCCTCCCAGCGTCGAAGGATCCGATCGCGCCGCTGGCCTCGCCAAAGGAGAGCACGCGCCTGCGCTGGGCGGCGGCACTCCAGGCCAGGCAGGGCCAAGGCGCGGAGGAGCAGGCGCTTGAGGCGGCGCCCGTGCCAGCGCAGCGGCAGCCTGCAGCCGCCCCGCCCCCGCCCCCTGCGGCTGGCGCTGGGAGCCAGGGTGCAGCGCCGCCGAGCGCCGCGGCGCCCCGGCGCCTGGCCGCGGCGGCCCCGCGGGCGGAGGACGCCGAGCCGCGGCGGATCCGCCCAGGGCTCGTGGGCGTCCTCCGCGCCCACGGCTTCGCGGACGCCGCGGCGGCCCGCGAGCGCGGGAGAGCCGCGAGGGCAGCGGCCGCCCGCGCAGGCCGCGAGGCGGGGCTTGCCGAGGGCTGGTGAGGGCTCGGCTGGCGGCTGTAAGCGCTCTCGCGGCCCTCCGCCTGCCCTGCCGAATGCGTGCATGAAACCGCCGTGCTCGCGCGGCGCCTACACATATAAAACAATGCCCTCACAGTATAGCTTGATTGACCCCTGTCCCCATCACCATCCCCAGGCCGTCCCCCACCATCTTAGCACCCCAGGTGGAGAGCTTCAGAGGACGAGAGGGTACCCGTGCCACGACCCTTCCCTCGTGTCCCCATGTTTGGGCCTCCCGGGAGCCGCTGGATTCGCCCCGAAGTTCTAGTCAGAGCGCACCCCAGAAAAAGCCCAGAGTGAAGCGGGTATCGGTACCTAGATATTTGTGTCCATCCCCATAGAGCTGGGTCACCCGCGGAGGCGCGAAGAGACGGGCGGGAGCCTTGCGATCGCGTGTCGCGCCGCCGGTTCTGGCCCACCACGCTTCGGCGCGGCACGCTATCCACGTCCTGGCCCCCACGCGTCGGTGTCCCGAGCCTTTCCGGGCCTCCCGCCCCGCAGGGCGGAGCGACGCGCTGTCCGCTCGCACTGTCGCTGGGGCCACCCCCGCGACACGCTACGCAAACGTTCCCGACCGTACGTGGGTCGCCCCTTGGCAACACCCGAACGCTCCTGTGAAAACGCCATGACGTCAGAACTCTTGGGCGAGGGAGGGGACTCGGCCACGCGCAGAGGGGGGTAAGGGGGCGGAGGGCTCCTCAGAGGGAGACTGCTTCCCATTGAACACGAGCCTCACCTGCAGATTGGGCCAGCGCCTTCCAAGAAGCAGCCTGGAGTGAGGTGGCCCTGGACAGCGCCAGTGGCACGGTCCCCGTGTGTTGCTCCGCGACGGGGTGCAGCTCTGGCTGGCCGCCCTGGCTGCTCCACGGCGGCGCACCTGCCATGGAGGGGGAGGAGGAGGAGGAGGAGGAGGAGGAGGAGGAGGAGGAGAAGGAGGAGGAGGAAGAGGTGGAGGAGGAGGAGGAGGAGGAGGAGAGAAGGAGGCGGGATGTTGATGATGAGGAGGAGGAGGAGGAGGAGGAAGAGAAGGAGGAGGGGGGGGAGGAAGAGGAGGAGGAGGAGGAGGATCCCCTCCTCCTGCCCCCGGTGAACTTGCGCTTTCTCCCGTGCCCGGGCCGCCTGAACGCGCGAGCGGGCTGCCTCCTGCCGCGCTGCGGCGTAGAAGCGCGTGGCCACACGAAGGCGTTCTCCCTGGGCTCCAGGTCCAGGAGGTTGGCGGCGCGCAGAGGGGGGGGGAGGGGGGAAGGCTTCTTAGAAGCACTCCTGCTTCTTAGAAGGTGCGGGCCTTCTCTGTAGTTGGAAGGCCGGCGCCTTCTAAGAAGCAGCCTCCTTCTAAGAAGCCTTCCCCCCTCCCCCTACCCCTTTCTGCTCGCCGCCAAGGAGGGGGAACGACACGCAGGCACCAATTATCGTCAACGCCAAGGGAAATGTAGGAACTATGGGAAGTAGAGCAGAGGAGGACGGAAATCCGGAAAGTATGCAAAACAAAGGAAATCCTAGGACTCGTGTCTACTTTTGTGTCTTCGGGCCCCTTCAGAGGTTGCCAGGGCGTGGGCGTGCAGGGTGCCTGACGGAGCCTGAGACTGGTCAGGATGCCTCTCGGGGCCTGCCAGATGCACGGTGAGCTTGGGATGTGCTTCTAGTGAGCCTCTTCAGAACGATATGGGGGCATATGCGCCGCATCGCATGTTGCGTCCCGCTGTGTGGTCGCACTGCAGAGCAGAAGGGGCACCTCATAGCATTCATACCGCGATACGACCCCTGCGCAGTGACCAGCACATGTTTCGTGACTAGCTGTCAATGATGCTCACCCGTAGCACCCTTTTCTGGAGAGGCTTGTGGACGCATGCAGTGAACAGCTTGCGCTTTGATCACTGCAGCGCGTCGTCCATTTCTTCCTTAAACTATTGAAGCATCGAAAGTTTCGCGGCGTACGGTTTACCCCCCTTCGACGATAAGCATACACGTGTCTAGCACTACGCGTGACAGTGAACAATAAACATAGACAAGTGGAATGTTGGAAACAATCCGGTATGGAAACACTGCCCAATGCACGTGCTAGGCTTGTTTCCTTTCATCGCCATCTGGGCTGTGCTCGTCCACGCTTGGCAAAATTAGGTCCTGCCGCCATCATGCAAAGGCGGGGCGCGTGGTGTGTGGGGGGGCCTACGAACCAAACATGTTGCGGAAGTTTCGAGCCGCGTCTGCTCTGGTGTAGGGGGAGGTTGGCGGAGGAGGGGAAGCAGGGAGCAACATGAGGGGGGGCTTGAGAAGGAGGGAGGAGGGAGGACAGGGTGAGACGCCAGGAGCGAGCAACGATGCGCAAAGAGCTAGGAGGGAAGAGGGGCATAGACTGAGCGAGGACGGAAGGCCTGAGGGGAGAATGCAGGGAGGAGGAGCGAGGGAAACCAGTGATCAGATCCGCTGTTGCGCGCTCAGGTTGTGAAGGGCGACCTTGCACCAGCCGAGGACACAGAGGCCTTGCCGAGCTCATCTCCTCTTCATCCACTCTTTCCTCCTGTTCCTCCTCCTCCTTCTCTTTCTCCTTCTCCTCGTCTTAATGCTTGTCCTCGCCAACCTCCTACCCAACGGCGCTTCCTCCTCAGCGTCCTCGAAGTCATCCTCCTCGTTCTACTCCGTTGCCCTGCGTGTCCTCTTTGCGTCGTCGTCCTCCTGCTGTTCTTCCGAGCCTGTTCCGGTTCAAGCCAGGCTTCCTGGGGTGAGCTGAGCGCCCTCCCTCTGGTCTGGATGGTTCCAACTGGGGGCGTGTGATCAAGAGAGGAGAAGTCAAACTGCGTCTATGGAACAGCCCCTGGGCGTTTTCGACAGGGCTTCGTTCGTCGGGGTGCTCATCATGAGGATCGTGTTCCTGCCCTCCCGTGTGAGGGAGGGCAGACGAGGAGGAGGAGGAGGAGGGGGAGGAGGAGGAGGAGGTGGAGGAGGAGGAGGGGGAGGAGGGGGAGGAGGAGGAGTAGGAGGAGTGAGGTGGTGAGGAATGGGGGAGGAGTAGGAGGGTGGAGGAGGAGGAGGAGGAGGGGGAGGAGGAGAAGGAGGAGGAGGAGGAGGAGGATGGTGCTTCTGCCCTCCCGTGTGCGGGGGGCAGCGGTACGGGTGTCCCTGGAGCGAGGGCCCCATGGTGTACGGCGGTGTGCGCCTCGCCGGCGCGGCGGCGACGTGTGCGCCGCAGGGGCCATCGTCAGGCAGGCA